TACGATCGATTTCCAACCTTGACTCAACATCACCTTCGACAGGTGATGGGGTGCGTAGTTGTACATCTAGCCTCGACAGAACACTTTCTGGGTCAAATGGAACAAGCCCTGCTCCTCTGAAAGCTCCCTTGATGATTTTTCCTGTCATTGCAGCTTGATTTGCGGCAAAAAGTGCGGGTAGAAAGTCCGTCTTCGTGATATGCGTAATATGGGCTTTCATGAACATTTCAATTTCCTGACCATACGCCCTCTTTAGCGGCCCAAAGCACCCAACGTCAAGTGGCTGGAGAATATGTGATGAATGTGCCGGCATATAAACAGTGATAATCTTATGGTCCTTGCAAAAGAGCTCAAAGTCCGTAGAATGATGGCTTTCATGCCCATCCATGATCAGAAGGCCGTGTACCACGCGTTCGTGCTTTAGTATGCTTTTCAAAGTGCTTGATCCATTCTACGCCTTTCTCATTTGTAGTCCAGCCATTATGAGTTGTGGAGATAACCCAGTCGTGAGGTAGAGTGCTGTCTTCATATCAGTTTGTGAGATGATGCAGCCAGTGTTCCGAATAGGCGGTCCAAATGGGCTGGACCGCGTGGACCGCCTAGATGGACTGCATAACTGAACAGAGCTGAGGGCCTGTGGTTGATGGTGGCGCATCTCATCTATACAAAAAGCAAAAGTGTTGCCGACACGAGCCTTGATAGGTGCGCGATTCCGCGTGTCGTCGCGGATTCTCCTTCGCGACTCGACGCGTGTATTTGTTCTTATCATTATAATCATTGTTAGCATGGCTGAGTCTATTCGTGACAATGAGTCTTCTATCGACTCTCTAACCACATGCAATGCAGCTGAATCTTCTCTGCTGTCATATGCGCCTACAGAGAATTCCACAAGCTGTGAGGCCCTTTGTGAAAGCACGGCTGATAGCTCTGATAATATTTACAAAGACCTTGACTGGAGCAAGTATCCGGGTTATGCAAAGGCACCTCATACCAAGCGACAATGCACTTCCTGGACCTGGCAACATGGCTATAGGATTCAACATATTAAAACAGAGACTCTTTACTGGCTCTGCAAGCCTTGCATCGTGAAGAAAGCTCACAAAGCCGCCTTATATGCTAGCACTGGCGGCTCGCACTCGCAAATCCGT